CATAATTTTACTATATATTATGACCCTTTCTGACCCTAAATATAGCTTTAAATAAAATCCGGTACTGTCACCGCCGGCGACAAGTAGATTATTTCATTATATATCGATATGGCTACGTATAAAAAAAAAAGAACTTTGACTTATTGACCGCAGATGGTCAAACTTGTTCACAATTGCTGCGGACCGATTAGTGTTACACTAGATCTTAAATTTGATTGGCCAAAGAAAATTTTTAAAGGTGTTTTTTTCATCAGTTCTTGTAATGTCTCATTTTGGATATTTTAGATCGAATGTTAACTATATATTAAAAGTCAATAATAACTTTGCAAGTTATATTCATAATAAATCTTTAATAATGAATACACAAATTTCATTTCTTGATCCAAATTCTTTTACATTTCTTGATAACGATCTTGAAGATCCACAATTCACTACCACTGACCCAAACGCAGAGGAACTTCTTGGAAATGCAAAAAAGCTACTTTCCGAAAATCAAGTCATTGCTATACCGACAGAAACAGTTTATGGCTTGGCTTCAAATGCACTTTGTTCAGAAGCGATTCAAAAAATTTATATTGTAAAAAATCGACCTTTGGATAATCCATTAATCGTTCATATTTCATCATTAAAAATGTTAAAAAAATATTTATTACCAGATCACACAGAAATTCCTAAAATTTATGAATCTGTTATAAAAAAATTTTGGCCCGGCCCCTTAACAATACTTTTACCAAAACCTGAATCAATTCCTTTAGAAGTCACTTGCAACCAACCTACTGTTGCTGTACGATTTCCTTCGCATCCAATAGCTCGAGCTTTGATATCAACATGTGGATTTCCTTTAGCAGCCCCATCAGCAAATGCATCGGGAAAGCCCTCACCGACTTTGGCGTCTCATGTTTGGACAGATTTAAATAATAAGGTTCCATTAATAATTGATGGTGGTCAATGTAATTTTGGCGTAGAATCTACAGTTCTAGACGCGATTAACTCTAAAGATCCAATTATATTACGCCCTGGAGGTGTTACTTTTGAGGCATTGGTTCAAATTCCGGGATTTGAAAATCTAAGGGTTTATAGTAAGGACTTTATTGACAAGAAACTTGAAATAGCACCTACAACCCCTGGAATGAAATATCGTCATTATTCCCCTAATGCTAAAGTTGTATTAATTGATCTTGATGGTGATAGGATTAAAGCAAGAACTATATTGAAAAGGGAAGTTCAGAGAATTAAGAATGGTGGTGCGAAAAAAATTGGAATTTTAATATTTACAGATAATATAAATATACAAAATGATGTGCAGGAATCCAAGATTAATTTAAATACTAATACATTAATAAATGATTTTGATTTACCAAATAACAATAATACTATAGAGTATTCATTAGGTAGTTCAATTCATCCCGAACAAGTTGCTAAGGAACTATTTAAGGGATTGAGATATCTTGATGAACATAAAGTAGATTATATAGTTGTAGAAGGAATCCCTGAGACGAATGAAGGATTGGCCGTAATGAATCGATTAAGAAAGGCCGCTTCTACAATCTTAAAAGAATAACTTGCCAAGAAGAAAATTGTGATGTAAACATTGAGTTTTTAACAAGTTACCGGATCAGCACTAATGCTAATAAAATTAATCCTATACCACGCGTCGATTCAGAATCACGTGACGCATACATGCATTTCTTAAAACGTACCCTACGTACGTACAGTACCTAGATAAATAAATTCATCCTTAAAAATGTATCCGGGGTATAGGGCCAACATGATAATTTACCTATTACTGTAAATTCTCAAATAATGGGCATAGGCGTTATTTCGAAGACCATGCCACCCAAAATAGTATAGTTAGAAATATAACGTACATGCGCGCGCACTTTACGTATAACGGCTCATACGTTTTTTTTTTAACGTAATAAAGTACTTGCACACGCACGGTTATCACGTGCAAACAATTTCTATTATGTCAATCGTGAAGATTGATTAATGCAATAAAAAAAGCTTATGTCAATTAGAAAAATTAATTCCCTATGGGCGTGCCCATTATTTTTGAGAATTTACGGTAATGGTAATTATAATTTGGTAATTTACCTCTAAATTACCTAAAAATTACCGTAATTTACAAATAATAAAACATTGGGTTTTAGGATCTTAATAGTATACTAACCATGGCACTTCCCCAATATCGCGTCATCAAAAAACCACTATGAATATAAAAATAATTTATTACGTATAAAAGTACTTCCTGATATTTATTTAGCAATAACTGCTTTGCCTCATATTTATCTTCCTGTAAGTATATGCTCTTTATGTATATTTATATTATATGCATTCTATAGTCAATTCTGCATTTAGACGACTTTAACGCTCGCCGAAGGTGAAATTCACCGGGTATAGATAATTGGTATTTGGTATACTAAGTAAAAATGTCCAGCATCCTAAAAAATTCTAACTTCTACCTTAATTTAAGCCTTAGACCCTAACCCTAAATTTAATTTTAGTTTTAAAATTTGTGGTAAAATTTTCTATAGATAATATAATTAAAAAACATATCGTGGTGAATTTCATCTCCGGTGAAAATAAAATATATTTTAATCACTAAATTTGATTAGATAGTTGTCAAGATATTTTTGCTCAGAGTTGTAAGAATTTTGCTATAACTTTTATTTTAATAAATATGAAATTTTTATTCTATGAAAAAACATTTACGAGATGCCTATAACCCGTGATTGATTCTGATTGGCCGAGAATGCATGGATTATCAAAGAGTAACCGAATTCACACACCAAAAACGTCCTTTAATTCTTGAACAAATGGAAAATGCTGTGAAAACGAAGCCTACTACTTTAGAAGAATTAAAACGAAATCGCGAGAAATTACAATTTCGTAAAACTCGTTTTGAAAATTTTGAAAAGCGAAACAAAGCCAAAAATGGCAGTCCAGATCTTAGTAATAAGTCTCTCTCTCAATGCGAGAACTCCGCATATAGATCTGACACACTTTCGGTGCGATCGTCCACTGCCTTAGTTAATCGATTCACTGTTGCTACTGCCAGCTCAAGAGAGCCGTCTTGTACGGTTTATGAGAAACTTATATTGGACTATCTTACGAAAGGTCTACATAATGTCAGCTCTTTACCATTAGATTCTTATGACCTACTTAAAAGGTAATTTATTTATGAGAGCCAAATTCTTGTTCTCTAACTAATAAATACTAAAAGGAACTTTATAATTATTTGTAGACTTGCTGTGTGGCAAAGTGATTTCCGTGTTCCTTTTACACAGACGTCTTTAAAAAATCTCGAGACTGCACTTAAGGCTTTATCAAATACATGGGGTCCTAAGGCTATATCTGTGAAAGAAAAAAAAATTAATGGGAGTAAGAGATTAATAGTGGAAGAGGTTGATTCTCGAAAGTTGAATGCAGTCAAAGTTATTGAAAGGTATCTTCTAGCTGGAATATGTATTTTACATGATAATTATTTAGGTTCTAAAGTATGTTGTTTATATTATTTATGTTTATGGGGAAATGTTAATAATATAGTGCTTTAGATTCGAACGATCCTTCATCGTTAGAAAAGTCGTTACAATTGACCACTTACACAAACGATAACAGTAAAAAGCGCAAAATTGATCGTATACTAGATGACGACGACGATGATGGTAACTATTAAGATTCCATAAATAAATCTAGTTGGGGAATGTCTATTTAATAGTTTATGTTTACATAATTTTCCGATATAATTTCTAGCGTCAAAAGAAATAAATGAACTTCTTGCAAAACCATCATTTAAAGAATTAGAAGAGAATGGTCCGTTGCATAATCTATGTGTAATGTTGAATAAAAAATCTTCTCAAGACAAGTTAATAATCGATATGGTAAGGGTGCATCTACATTTATAATTATAATATAATCTATTATTGTTTAAGGTTACTAATTTAAAATTTTATTCTGGACACAGTTTCGATCGACAAATAACTCGTTCCGGGAGTTTTGTGTTTATGGTACGAAAGCTGATTGTAAAAAACGTCGGAAAACAACTAGAACTTGTAAAATGGTTCGTAAATTTATAATAACCTCTTTTAACAATGACCTTTACTAAATAATCGAATTACTGCATCCATTTTTGTATAGCTTCATTTCCGCCCAATGTTGCGGCACCATACAGATTTGGAACTAGGTGATTGTTCATATCTCAACACCTGTCATCGGATGGACACTTGCAAGTACGTACACTATGAACTGGATGAAGAAGATGAAAAATGGACATATATTCAACGAAAACAAATACCACCTGCTGTGGTAAGGAATTGTTGTTCGTTAATTTATGTCTATTTATATTTATATTTAGGAAACATTTAACACTTATTTAAAATTGAAGGTGTTCGTTCCACCAACAAAAGTGGTAAGGATTTTCGCTTTTGTACTAAAATAGTTTAAATACTATCTTATTATGTTGATGTATATTTTTTTTTCTTTTGCTTAGCTTCCTCCTCAATGGATCAACTGCGACGTACGGAAGTTTGACTTTTCAATTCTCGGAAAGTTTACTGTTATAATGGCTGATCCACCATGGGATATTCATATGACGGTAGCGTGTTTCAAGATTTTTTAATTTGATTATTATTCAATGATCATTCAATGATCTTACTAAAAGTTTTGTTTCAGCTCCCCTACGGTACTATGACTGACGATGAAATGAAAGCTATGGAAATTTCTACATTACAGGATGAAGGATTATTGTTTTTATGGGTTACTGGAAGAGCAATGGAACTAGGAAGAGAATGTTTGAATATTTGGGGGTAGCTATTCAGAATTGATGACCTTAAAGGTTTTCAATTAATAAAACTAAGATCACTTTATTTGATTAGTTATGATCGTGCAGATGAACTTGTATGGATCAAAACCAATCAATTACAGAGACTTATTCGGACTGGACGAACAGGACATTGGCTAAATCACAGCAAAGAACATTGTTTAGTTGGAATTAAAGGTAATCCTGAAGATTTAAATTTGGGACTAGATTGCGATGTTTTAGTTGGAGAGGTAAGGACTATTCATATACCTTTAAAATGCATCGTCATAGACACATTAACAACTTTTAATATTCATATATTCTTAAAAGGTTAGAGAAACAAGTCGTAAGCCAGATGAAATCTACGGATTAATTGATCGTTTGGCACCTGGTACACGTAAATTAGGTACGTACCATTTTTTTCGTATTATTAACTTTATTCATTTTTTTCGTATTATTAACTTTATTCATTCTATTCATTCTCATACCGATCTCACATTCAACTCAGAAATATTTGGCCGTCAACACAATACGCGCCCTGGATGGATGACCCTTGGCAATCAATTAGATGACGTTCGAATATATGAGCCAGAATTAGTCATGCGGTATAATGCAAGATATCCAGAGAAGCCTTGTAAGCTAACTCAACTACCCGCGGATTGGTGACACATTTATTTATGCTAGTTACCAATAGTTTAACCAGGGTTTCACGGACCGGTCGACGGTCAACCTTGACCAGACAAATTTGACCAGATTGGTCCAGGGATTTAATACTAGTCAAGTTAGTCAAATTGTACATGTGGTGTATATATATATTATATATGTATGATATTTATGTAATAAACCGATTTAATTAATAGATCGCTTGACCAATTTGACCAGACTAGCTTAGATTTTGACCATTGACCGGCAAAATTTTGGCTAACTAATGATCTGATCAACCCTGTTTTTAACTTATGTAATGAATAAAGCAACTTATACAAGTTGTCAAAACAATTATTTATTATGTTGGAAAAATTGGTTACTTACACATTTTAAACCATTTGCATGATTACCAATTCTAATAAAGCACAAAAAATAAAGCAAGAAATTTTTGCGAATTATACTTATATATGTTGTATGTCGGAATGGAATTATTTTAAATTTAGAATCCACATAGGTTGTATTAGAATTCTAAATCGTATTCGAATTAAAGAATTCAATTTAACTCAATAAAATTAAATGGGTTCTAAATTTAACTCAATAAAATTAAATGGGTTCTAAATTATTTTATCGAGTATATTGCTTTGGAATTTAAGGATAAAGTTTATTTATAACGCAATTCATCATCAATTAAATTAAAAGCATTACATAATTTTTTACATTTATGGTCACTAACTACTACGTACCACAAAGCAATTTATTTTTTTACATACCGATACAATTATTTTTATTGCAATTGCATTTAATATCATCTACTTATGGAGATTGCGTAACAGATGCCTCTCTCAAACGCTTATAAGCATCGAAAAAATAATTCCGAAAAGTTGTCAGAACCAAATGAATACAAGTACAGTAACCATGCACGATTAATAGTCGATACGATCCAGTTCATGTATATACAATAAT